ATTAAATATATGGCTAACTCAAGGCACAAAACTTGTGGTCATTTTTGTATTATTAATTAATTATGCAGGTTAGCTGGAGTCCCGACTCATCCTAATGACAAAATGATAACTCCCATGGAGCTAATTAGTGCTACAACAATTAGAAGATTTTAGCAAAAGAAAAGAGACACAGACGCCCAACTAGAATAGGAAAATAATCAAGCAAGGGACAATGTCGAAGTCAATCCTCCAAATAGTCTAGGAGCACCAAGGGAAGAAAATTGGCAAACCAGTGGATTCCAAAGAAGAATGGAAGAATATACAGTGGGGCTAATAAAGTGGGCGAATAAAATTCCAAGCATCTTGTATGTTGAATCACCATATTTTGCACAAATATTTGAAGACTTCTACAAGCATAAACAAAATAATATATCTGTGAAAGATTTAAGGAATCGGTTTGAAACTGCATAAGACTTGGAAAAGTACTTCAAGGATCAAGACAGTGCACAAGAAAAAAGGATAGATGAGATGAGAGTAGAATGGGAAAGAAAAAATAAAAACTTTCACAACTCGGCAGGCGAGTTGCAAGACTTTTTCAGCTTTGACAACGAATAACAAAGACCAAGGAGCAACTTTAAATTTCCGCAAATTTGAATCTAGTTTAGACTACCTTTGAGAAATCACTACTTATGAGTATTTTGCCTTTGCATATTTTTTCTGTTTACTAGAAATTAAAGACCATGTTTGCTTATGATTATTTCTTTCAAAATTACAAATAAGTGCAATTATAACATTGAATGTACAAATGATCCAAACATACCAGTAGAAAAGGCTTGATCATAAAGAAGGTGACTTACTAAGAGAAAGCGAAAGATAGAAACATAATCAACAAGCTTGTACTCAATCTCCAGATACCTCAGCTAGTAAGGTTTGAGCCAAATACTTTCACTGTTTACCAATTATTCCTTTGAGTGTATACATGTTTTACTGTTTTATTAGGTTTGATCTATGTCCAATGTTATTTATCTAGTTTGATTTACACACATTGAGAAACTTTTTTGTTTAAACTCTAAGCCTTTTAAGATAACCCATATATTATTGAATATCCCTTGCTAACTACTTTGAGCTTAATCCTAGTGTTTTGGTAACAAAACCATATATGTTTGCCAATTGACTTGAAATATGTAATCTTTCCGCCCTCACTTTAGAGTTAGGTAGAATTATTTAAGCTTTCCTATCATAGGCAAAAGAATAAGTTTAGGGTTGCTCTTGGAAGTGAGCAAAGTCTAAGTTTGGGGTTGGGGTACTAGAGATAATTGGTCAAAATTTTCAAAAATTGTTGAGAAAAATCAAGAAGTTAAAACAAACTTCTTCAAAAAAAAAGAATGAAAAAAGAAAGAGACCAGCAAGAATGAATAAATCTCTAGTACCAGTTAGAAGGAAAATAATTGATATGATACTGAGAGGAAAACTAGGAACCAAACTCTAAAGGTTTAAAACTACTTTCCCAAAAATATCCTACCTAAACCTAAACCACGTTACATCCGAAAAAGTTCTCAAAGTGTGTGTGTTTTGATTACTATGATAAATTTTATTAGAACGTGATCAAACTCGGTATAAGAAATTTTACGTATTGATTGAGTGATCACCCTGTTAATTTAGCAAATTATAGTGAGATAAGAGACAAGTTGAGTACTTGCTATAAGTTGAGGAGGTTTTCTAATTTTTCCTGATTAAAGTTAGAAGCTTGAATGATGATCAGGTAAAAATAAGTATGGTGATGTTCAATTGTTGTTGTTGCATTTTTGCGTTTCTGTTTGGAATTTTCAATTGCAAGCAAGTTACTTGAGTACAAGCAATAAATTAAGTTTGAGTTATGATAACACTCCGTCGTTACATATATTTAGTCGAAAAAACATAGAAAATTGAACCAAAAATTACTTAATTTGATGAAAAATAGCCCAAAAATAGAACAAAATGAACAAAATATGAAGAAATAGAGACTTGGAAAAAATCTGATTAAAAAAGGATAAAACGCGTGTCAGTTACTGAAATAATAACACAGGCATCGTGCCTAATCCATTGACACCAAAAATTATAAAGTGACAAAAAAATCATAAAAAGCATACTTAATATCAAAAGCTTGAATTTTTTTAAAGTTAGGAATAAGTTTTAGAAATTAAAGCACTACTTATATAAAAAAGAAAATTAATTAACAAAATTCAACAAATTAGTTTGAAATGATTAATAATACGTATTAGTTTTATGACTACATTTGTAAAAATGTGAAACATGAAGTTTAATTTTACCATAAGGAACCGGAAAACGATTCAAGAGAAAATATTGCGTAAATGATATAGATGTTGTCAATGTCATTCCTAATGCAGCCGTGGCACTTGCTACCTGCAAGATTATCAAATGCTATAATCTTTGTGTTTTATGTTTTTGGTGTTGTTGAGTTTCGTTGTTTATGTTGTTGTTGTTAATGATGTTATTGTTGATGTTGTTGTAGTTGTTGTTTAGTTGTTACTGTCCAAAGTTATGAAAATCTGTATGTTGTAGTGTAGTTGTTGTTATTTAGTTTGAGCTTTAGATTGATATTGATATTGAATTTATGTTTTTCTGTGATTCGTTGTTCAACTCTCATCTTATTCTATCGAGTTAAATTTATTATAACTAATATCGATTATTTGTTTCACTAACCATTTTTTGAATATATAACCTATTAAATTAATTTTGAAAATAATCATATGAAAAATTATATTGTATTTGAAACATATCTTACACTGATTAATATTTTTCTACAATTCTGCAATTTATCATTCATCTCATATTCTTTTGTTGTTAAAATATCTCAAATACTTCTAGTTTTCGTATAACTTTCTTCTATACTTGTTCATTTTTCAAAGCATAAATTTTATACTTTTAAGAATGAATTAGTAGAAAAGAAAATGTTGAATAAAGAACTTGAAATATTGAAGAAATTTTAACCATTAAAAAACAAGAGATGAATGATGAGTTATAGAATGCTTGAAAAACTTTAATTAGTGTAAGTTATTTTTCAAATGTAGCACAATTGTTCATATTATTATTTTTCTAACTAACTTTGATAAGATATATGTTCAGTTGGGATTTAGTGAAATAAGAAATTCATGTTATATTTAATAAACTCAATCGTGTTTCACCATTTCAAAATCTAAAAAAGATCTCCCGGATATCGAAACCATGACTTTTACATATTATTCATTGATTGTTTTAAAATTGAGATAAGACCCCAAGACACACTTTATTACCTCACTTGAAAAACCAAAAAAAAAACTTATTTTTTAACTAAAGTAAAATACCTTTTTTTGTTGTAGTGGTTTATAATTTTCTTAATTTTTATTATCATGTCAAAAAATAAGAATCTTACATTCCCATAAGATTATTAAATAATCAACTTTAACTTCTCACTCTCATATTACATTAACACATTTATTTTTTTAATTTTTTAATTTAAAAATTTAATTAAAATAATCTAAAAAATCCTGAAAACTTTATTCATTTGACAAATATATTGATAGGAATAAAATTTTTGACACTAATATTCTTAGAAATGATTTTATAAAATATAATTTATTCATTTTCCAAAAAGAAAAATAGGTCATAATAATATTTATGTAATTTATACCATATAAAAATTTATAAATTTAATTTTTATTTATTAGATGTAAATAAAATCTATAATTTTATTAAATATTATTATTACCTTTTTTATTTTTGTATAAATTAGATATCATTGTGGAAGAGGTTTAACACGATTATTCTTAAATTGTAAATTATTAATTTATACACACTAGAAAATAAATAATTTAATTTAGTAAATATGTATTAAAAAATATTAATGAATACAAAAAATCATTATTTGTCACCAAAAAAAATCATACTAAATATCAAAAGTTTGAATTTTTTTTAAATTAGGAATAATTTTTTGAAATCGAATATCCAATTCTAGAACTATTTATATAAAAATAAAATTAATTAACAAAATTCAACAAATTAGTTAGAAATAAAATTTGAAGTATTTGTTTTGAAAAACTATGAATTTATTTATTTTTAAAACAAATCAAAATATTATAATAATAATAATAATAATAATAATAATAATTATAATAATTATAATAATAATTATAATAATAATAATAATAATAATAATAATAATAATTATAATAATAATTATAATTATAATAATAATTATAATAATAATAATAATAATAATAATAATAATAATAATTATAATAATTATAATAATAATTATAATAATAATAATAATAATAATAATAATAATAATAATAATAATAATAATAATAATAATAATAATAATAATAATAATAATAATAATAATAATAATAATAATAATAATAATAATAATAATAATAATAATAATAATAATAATAATAATAATAATAATAATAATAATAATAATAATAATAATAATAATAATAATAATAATAATAATAATAATAATAATAATAATAATAATAATAATAATAATAATAATAATAATAATAATAATAATAATAATAATAATAATAATAATAATAATAATAATAATAATAAATTTCTATTTTATGATTTTCTATGATGTAGCAATGTAACAACCATCGTTAGAAATTTAGAAGTATTAGGCAACTTTGAACTAAGTAACAACTATTCAAAAACATGCAAATTGTAAACCAACAGCCCACGTCACCCCTGATCAGTTTAATCAGTAGTTATATTATTATTTGTTATACGTTGCTTTGTTTGCTTTTGAAATTACTTTCGTCTTCTTTTGACGCACCAATAATAATAATAACAAATAAACTTTTCAATCTCTAGAAGAATAAAGTTAGCTTTCGAGCTAATCGAATATTCATTCCTTCATTCTTTCATATAAATACATAACCGAAACCACTACCATACTCAACAAACTTTCAAACCTACACACTTTATATTCTCTCTTCATCAACAACTTAGGTTTTCAACTTTCAACAACCACTATGCCACAGTTAGATTTCGAAGCGTTAGTTTCCGCCTTATCCGGCGTCGCCACCGACCATAAAATCGCATGCGAACCAACGGAAGAATCACAACCAGATCATCATCCCGACTCACCACCGCCTGAATCGTTTTGGCTCTCCAACGAGGCGGAATTCGACTGGTTTGACAGAAACGCCGTCTACGAACGAAACGAATCAACCAAAGGAAGTTCAATTTCTCAAAACCTAAACCCTAGTTCAGCCTCAAACTCGCAGCGATTCTCCAAGAACATGAAGAAATCCAAGGCTACGATAATTGGATTGCCCAAATCTCAGAAAGCGTCTTTCGCTGAAGTTAGGTGCCGGCGGAATCATCGGCCGGGAAACAACACAAGGTTGTTTCCGAAACGAAGTGCGTCGACCGGAGGAAAATCTGATTCTATTGTTTTGGAGCCTTCGTCTCCGAAGGTTTCATGCATAGGAAGAGTCAGATCCAAACGGAGTTGTAACCGCCGGTTGAGAACTCGTCAGAGGTCGATCTCCTCCACCACCACCTCCGTCACCGTCGTTAGACAAAAATCTTCGCGTAGTCAAAGAAAGAAGAAAACCGGTTTCATCCAAAGCGTTTGTTCAATTTTCCGAAGCCACCGGAGTGGAAAATCAGCACAGAAAATTGATCTTGATCTTGATCTTCCACCGGGAGATTCTTCCTCAAGAAAGAAGATACTGAACCGAACCGAGGCGTCGTTTGAAGAATCGGTTCACAGTGAACCTCCCGGTTTGGGTTCAATGAACCGGTTTGTCTCAGGGAGGCGGTCCGAGTCATGGGGAGTAGGTGACTCAGAAATCAACTCTTCACATTAGGATTATTTTGGCGCCGGTGGCTGCCACGTGTGGGCCCAATGTTAGCGTGTGTTCGTTGGACTCGAAGTTTTGAATAGTTGTTAAGAGATGACGTGGCACGTAGAGTAACTGTTTGTAACTGTTTTACGCTAGTACTACTTGCTTAGTTTGTCCTTTGAAGCGTGTTTGAATTTGCTGTTTCTAGTTTTTTAACCTATCTGTTTTAGGAGTAAAATGAACGACGGCGTTTTGTAAATATAATTCGTGTGCCTTTTTGCTGTAATGAGCAAGTGTAAATTTATTTTAGCATAATGCTTCATACACACCTACAAAAGCCTTTTTTTTTTATATAAATTGGTATCCAATTAATCGGTATACATTTATATGTATTTAATTTTTTTTATCTTTACAATTTAGTCCATTCAAAAATTTTGTCAGAGTTTTATTATTATTATTATGTACGGTCAATATAAAATTTTCATACAATACATCATAATTATGTAATTATATTATTTTTAAAAAAATTAAAATAACAATTAAATATTTTTAATAAATTAACGATTCTGATTAATTGACGGTGTAAAACTTAGGTATATCATCACTTTATTTCAATTAAATTTATTTTTTAATTAGTTTTTTCTTATAGGGTTTGAATTGTATTTTATTTTTTATTATGTTTAGTGTTTTGTTTACTGAATGATATTTGTGTAAGGTTTTATAGGTTTTGTTTTTTGTTTTTTTTAATTATATATATTCTCTTTTTATCTTTCCATTATTTTTAGAATTTTTTACATTTTGGATTTGTTTTGGGATGATTAACATGTCAGCGTTGCAGTGTGTATAGATTAATTTAGTCAATAAGTTAGTCGGCATTCTGTTTGATTTGACAAATGAGTTATTTATAGTCAATTATGAACAATGTGACAAACAATTTAAGTTGTACATTTTTACTAAATAAATTTCTTTCTGCAGTTGATTATGTTTTTCTGCATGTTATATTGTGATAACTTGTAGGCTTGTAAATGTTTAAAATTTTCAAAAACATTGACCGTGTTATTTCCATTAAATATAGTTTTAAGCATTTGCTTGTAAATGATCAGCACGTTTTGTGACCAAAGATAAAAGTGAAAGAGACCATAAACACCACTAGTGAAATTTTAATGAAATCTTAACAAAATGTCTCCTTTTTGCTAACATTGTATTGCTCTACTGACTACAATTTACTTAGAATCTCATGTTTATAAGAATTTCATGTTCATCGTATTTTCAAGATCCTAGGGTGAAACTTTACTACTGTTCATCGTTTCCAAATGTTGATTCTTAATCTCGTATCTGCTTCTCAATAGAGCCGTTTCACATCTTGTAGAATTGTCTCTCTTCTCAACTTTCTATTATCCCTCCTATATTGAAGCTTGCACCTTCTCTTGTGTCCCAAAACTTTTGCACAAGCACTAAATGTAGCCTGCGACATTCCTTACTCTTAACTTCCACAACCCATTTTGAAAGAGAATCGTCTTTCAATCACAATCTCGGAGTATGAGTATCTTGCAGGTGTTGAAGACTGCAAACACAACCTTCATGGACAGATTCTTTGGCCACGGGGTTCCAAAGCGCATCAACCTCAGATCAAAACTTTCTGCTCTTTGGATTGGTCTGGGTAGATGGGTGGTCATATCCCTGGGAAAGGGATTTTACGAATTCTCTTTTTCGTCTCTGAATGATGTTAGAAGAATAAGAGTTGCGGGCTCTTGGAATCTTGCTCCAGGTTTGCTTAAGTTGTTTCCTTGGACCAAGGACTTTGTGCCTAACATTCAAAACTCAAACACTGCTCAGGTTTAGGTCATATTATATGGGTTGGCTCAAGAGTATTGGCGCCCTAAAATTTTGTTTGCGATAACAAGCAACATTGATACTCTAGTCTGCTCTGATGTTGCCTCCACAAAGCTCGTGATTGATAGGACTTTTGGTCATTATGTGCGGGTGCTGGTAGACGTGGATGTTTCTTGCAAATCAGGTACAAGGTTCTAGTTAAGAGATCAAATTTGCTTTTTTCACTAACCTTGAATACGAGAATCTTCTCGTTTTTTGTGCTCATTATAAGAAGATAGGACATTCTTTTGAGAATTACAAATTTGCAAATCCTGAAAAATGCTGCGGAAAAGTTGAAGCCCCAATTCAAAAAAGTGTTTGCTCCCAAACCCAACAATTCTACTCAGGTGGAAGTTCCTAAGGAACCTGTTTCCATTCCCAGTATGGTGGAACAAGAGGAACCGAATGTCCTTGTCACAATTCCTAAGGATACAGTAGTTAGGGAAAACTAGTTAGAGGACTTGGACCTTGCTGCTAATCCTGAGGGAAACTTAGACTCTCAAGAAGATATTTTCAACGATTGTAATCCTAATAATAATTTTGAGTCTCCAGCCACTACTTCAACTAGCTCTTATGGATCTTTTGTTGATGTCAATGTTGAGATTATTGCGGGGGATGATAAAGATAATGTAAACAACGCTTTTCTTAATAAGGCATGGAATTCTCTTCAAGGAAATCTAGTTTTTCATATCAATATGGAGGATCATCATAAGGAAGAAGATTCCGATTTTTCTGATGAAGACCAAGAACAGGTGGATTCTTCTTTTCAACTTGTTATGTCTAAGTCTCAGAAAAAGAAAAGTAAGCAAATGAGCAAGTTAGGTGTTGTACCCAAAAATTTATCCTCTTTATTTTCATACACGCATATCATTGGTTTTATAGTTATGGAATAAAGGTATATTTAACAAGCTTCGTCAGGTTACAAGTGACGTTTATTTTGCCAATAGATGTTCTCAGAGTATTTTCCGTGCTGAAGATCGGTTCGTCGTTTTGCAACGATTCGGGGTTCAAAGATTCACAAGTCCAACCCGGTGCGTCATATTCAGGTGTTCTTTCGCCAAGATATCTTTGATAACGTATTCTCAAATTCAGGTTCGGCTCGAGAGCAAATTCTTTAAAGAAGGTCCCCGAATGTGTGAGTTTTCTCGAAGAAATATGGTGAAAAAGTGTGCTGAAAGTGCAGTTTTTACGCACTAAAAAATTAATAACTTGAAGACTGTGGCTTTTTTTAAACCTGTTCCGGTGGCCAAAATTCCGTCTTGACGTCATCTACGTTTTCATCTCTCACGGCTGGAAGCCAATTTCGATCATAAGGTCTTCAAAAATGCAGATTTATCAAGTATTTTTATACAGAAAATTTGTGACAAAAGTTTATTTCCGTCATGTTCAGAAAATCATAACTTGGTCGATTTTCATCGTATCGAACTGGTTCCGGCGCCAAAATTTCATAAATTGAGTTGGCTACATTTTCACACGAGGTATAAAATTTGAACGGTATCCAAAAGGCCTTCATTTTTTGCTCAGAATACGCGTGATGCACCAAAAATCCTGAATGCTGAATATTATTTCATCTGAGTCGAAACTTTGAAAATTCATAACTCGGTCAATTTTTATCGGATCGGGCCCATCTTTTTACACAAGGTCACTAACCCAGAGATCTACAACTTTGCTTCCAAAGTCGAGACCAGGTTTATGCTCCGATCAATACCAGTTTTTTATTGAAGAACGTGTCAGAGTTGACACTAGAGCCCAAAATAAGTTTGTCTGAGGCGAAACTTCAAAAATTCATAACTAATTCACCATTTATCTGATTGAGCCCGTTTTTGGACAAAAGATAGTTCTTGAGGTTGACTACATTTTGTTTTCACATTTCAACTTCGAAAATTGCACTTAAGTTCCTACGATTTAGCCTGAAACGTGACAGACTCAAGTGAATAAAAATCTGCACTATTGCTTGTGGTTATTGGAGGTCCAATTGCACATTCAAAGCCCATATCTTTTCTCTAATTTCCATTATATAATCTCATTCTTTTCATACAAACAGGACGGAAAAAAACCTTTGCCGCAATCCTGTCAAAATATCAAATTCTTTCAAGAACCCTAAAAATCTTGAAATCCTTGTTACAAACCCCCATCTCACTACAAACAAGTCATCCTTGTTACAAACTCCCATCTTACTACTTCTCCAGTAAGGGTAAGGCTGATTTGATCTCCATGATCAAAAGGATATAAAAGCATTCATACATGCCATATCGGTTTTAACATTACAAAATTTCATATATTTGCTTTCTTTGTATTTCATGATATAGTGATTTATTTAACGCGTTCATGAGATTCAACGCTGCAGATTTAGACATGGTCTCATGCAGGGTTATTACAAAACGCTGAGGCCGGATCATAACAACAACCAACAACACCATGGCGCATGGTAAAAGGGGGTGATCAGTGAGGTTAAGAGCGTGAGTTCAACACTCATCCCTATTGGTTTTGGTTTTCTTCCTTTATATTTATCCTTTTACCTATTTTTATTCTTTCTGTTAAAAACCTTTTTCATAAAACTTAACATTTTTCATAAACCTTTGATTTTTCATAATAAACTCGAATAATTAATTTTAGGTTTTAAATTAATTTTTGATTCAACACTCACCCCTGACATTTGCATTATTTGTATTTTCTAACCCTATTTTTCGTTGATATTTCTTCCCCTATCTATTTTTTGGCAAACTTAATTCTTTCTTGTTAATCATTACACGTAAAAAAATTTTAAAACCATTTTTTTAATTAAAATTAATTAGGTTTTAGGTTTTTTTAATTAACTTTTTTTTCAAAATTAACCTTTTTTTAATTAAAATTAATTATGTTTTTAAGTTTTTTTTAATTAACCTTTTTTTTAAAAAATTAACCTTTTTTTAATTAAAATTAATTAGGTTTTTAGGTTTTTTTTAATTAACCTTTTTTTCAAAATTACCCTTTTTTTAATTCGAACTAATTAGGATTTAGGTATTTTAATTAACTTTTTTCAAAATTAACATTTTTTATTAATTAAAATTAATTAGGTTTTTAGGTTTATTTAATTAATTATCATAAATAATTTTTTCATAAAAAATTACCAAAACATTTTCTTTGCTATTTTCATCTTATTTTTATTTTTC